ATTTGATATAATTCCTAGCACTAAAAACTCTTTCTACGTCAGCATTTGAGTGGGGTAGTATCATGGCAGGCATGGCACTTTAAAGAGCTTACATAATGGACTGTTTGATGAGGCATCTTTAAATTGTCTCACTTCACTCCAAAACGCTTTAGTTTCTGTTTTGTTTGCCCATTCAGCTAACTTTATTTTGGTTAACTGATATTCTGCTTCCGCGACACTATTATCAGTAACCCCTAAAAATTTCATAACTTTACAATATTTAGGTATGTCCTTTATTGGCTGAAGTATGTTGCTCACAGAAAAAAGTGAAATATATTTCAAAACATCTAGATTTTCAGGAAGTCTCTGCTTCAATAATCAGATAAGGAAATCTTGACAGCGTTTTCTTAAGTTGTTCTCTTCATTCTCTGTTAACAGTCCTTTTGTTTTTAAATAATCAATTTTTTATTCGATTTAATATCCAAGGTGTGGCTTAGGAGCCAAATAGTTCTCTATAGTGCAAGTGAGCAAATCAGCTTTAGAAATTGGCAACACCAGTCTTTTACCGAGTGAAATAGCAAGGTGGGATTATCAAGTAATTTAACTTTATCAACAAGTTTAGATTCGAACAGTTTATTAACTTTGTGCACTTCCATTGGAATAGGTTATAAAAAGAGAATGAATGACAATTTTTTTTTTTTTCATTACTGTACATTCCAGATAGTATTTCAGCTGTGTAGCACTTTTCACTTTGCCTTGTTATTTCAAAGTGTGTCTTCAACTTCAGCCATTGCTTCATAATTCTTTCAACAGTTGGTTAAATTGATAACCATCTAGTTTTGCAATCTGACAGAATTTTCGGTGGTGTGGAACCATCATTCAAGGATGTAAATAATGTATTGTATTGCTGTTGTCTGACAAATGATTTGGAAAACCAGTAATGTGTTTCAGCAATAAGGTATTCCAAATTCCTTGGTAAATATTTAGATAAAGCATGTGATAATGCTAGCTGCAATGAATAACGCATGCATTTTATAAGTATTAACGATGGGTTAGCTTCCTTCAACTTGGCATAAACGCCATTGTTTATTCCAACCATCACTGAGGCATTATCAGTGCGAATTACAGCCACATTCTTCAAGCCTAACTGTTTGCTGATTAAAAGGTCCTTCAGTTCCTAAACTATACTTTCTACATCACACATTTCAAATTGAACTAGTCCAAGACTTTTTACAAATCGATCAAATGGTCACAGTTTGAAATTGCGCATGGACAACTGATACTTCAACTTTTGATGATTCATTGATCAGTATAGTTCTGAAAACAGATGTCAGCGGTGTAATATCTTTTTTAGTCTCTGCATGACTCTTTGAGTTTTGTATTTTCGCTTTAATTTCACACTTGCAGTACTCACAACAAACTCTGGTCATATCCCCAGTTTTTAATTTTGCCATCATGCAACTTTTTCCAAATTTGTTGCTTATACTTTACTTTTGGCATGTTGAAGGGTTATTTCAAAGTGAAAGCCACATAAGAAGGTGAGCAATTATTTTTTTTTTAAATCACATGAAAAAGAAACGCAAAGTCAGCACAGTGAGGATACGGTTGAAACAAAGTTAGTATGATTTACGCGCGTTTTTGTTAATCAGTACCGGGGCTGCCAGATATTTGTACGTTGACCCCAGTGAGAGTTCAAAGTTCAAGTAATTGCAGTTGTCACAATGTACGTGCCAGACCAAAACAAAAATATTGTAGTAAATATTTTACTCAGTAATTAACAAATTGACAATGAAAGAAAAAAAAAATCTAAAAAATATCTAACTCAATCTGAAAAGTTTCTTGAAAAATATTTACGATCTAAACGTCAAAAACAGTATCTAAATGGAATGAAAAAGATCTAAATTTGGATATAAAAAATCCAAAGTGGCAACACTGGTTATAACCTTTACTGTGCTTTCTAAATACCAGATATAAATATATCTTTTCCTCAGTTTACAATCTTGACATAACGTCTGGTAGATGGTTGTCTATGCCTTGAATAAGTTCAATTCTGAATTTGAACTGTAATATCAACAATGCCCATCAGCATACTCTGGAATTGTTTGTAGCTTCCGTTATCACTAATTTGGTAAGTCCCAAATTGTCTGTTAAATTATGAACTCTTTCGCCAACAAATATTTCTTGAACTTTTTAAAACTTAGAACTAGTGATAAAGCCTCTCTTTCAAATGTGCTATACGTGTGTTGTGTGTATGTTAGTTTTTGAGATAAAGATTTAAAAAAAAGAAAGAAGAATGTGTGAATCTTTCTGAGCTAACATTGCTGCTGCAGAGTGCCCAGTAGCTTCTGTTTGCAAGTAGAATTGTCTGCTCGGGTCAGGCTGACTTAAAATAGGTGGTGTTGAAAATAAGGATTTAACTTTCTCCAAAACACTACCGTCGCTTTCTTCCCAGCCAATCTTTTTTCTTAAACTGAGGAGTGGATCGAACTGCCACCTGAACAGTCAAACTTGTGTATGGGCATAATCAAGCTGAACCGGGAAGAGAGCGGCCAGCAGGTGCCACGGAGGTGGACATTCAGCAATTAATTCAAGATAATGCTCGCTCAGAGTCAAGAGGCAAAAGAAGTGCTTGGGGCTTTTTAGCAAAAGTTAATGGTCAACGTTTGGTGCAGGAGAGCCTAGCATATAATACCACAACATCCAGTTTAAGAATGGAGGTGGAGGTGGTCACTACAGCTTTTCGCTGGCTAGAGAACACGACACACACACACGCGCACACACACACCCACCCACCCACCCACCCACCCCCACCCCCCCACCCACACACACACACACACACACACACACACACACACATATATATATATATATATATATATATATATATATCGTGATTGTAACTGACTCAGAAAGCATGCTGAGGAAGATCAGAACAGATATGCTTTGTGCAGAGTGGCATGCTTCGCTGCGGAGGACACGGGTGAGCAGTATTGTCTGGATTTTTTCACTGGGACACGCCAGTGTGGTTGGAAATGAACAGGCGGACAGACTGGCTGGCTCTGCACAACTTGGTGGAATACTAATACATGATAAGGCAGACGTGGTTAGTGCCTTGTGGGAGAGAGTGTAAAGTTCGGAGGAGCAGATGGATCACCACAGTCTGGTGAGATTTATGCAGTTTGAGGGGGGGGGGGGAGGGCGAGTGGTTCTAGCAGATGCTCGAGGCTCAGATGAAACAAGACGACGTTTAATCAGAATGCTACTGGCACCATTAGTATCGGAACTCTTCGCTGGCTTCTGAAGTTGGGGACGGAGCGCTTATGGTAATGCCCCTGGTGCTGTGATGTCGGTTCTTGAATCAAATCAAATTAAATCAAATCACTACATATGCAATTACATGTCAAAAGGTTTTATCATTTACAAATATTTCATTAACATGATGCTGTGGCAAATTTTAATTAATGTTTGTACTTAATTTTGTAATCAACACACGACATTGATCAAAAGTGTAATTTATAGGTACTGAATGCTGTTGTACAAGACATATGATGCTGCGTGCTGTATACATAAATTTCATGTCATTATATCGGCTTAGTTATAACTATCCAACACGACAGATTAAAATTGTGTGATTATTTTCACCAACATTACAAACTTGTGGTCACAGAATGTGGTACATGTTTGTAATAAACCTGTTCTAATAGTAGTAGTTTCAGAAATAGAAAACCCAAAACAGTGTAAAACTTTTGATAATTTGATAATTTTCTATTGATATCATAACTTGTGAGATGTAAAAACTTATGTGAATAAGATATACAGACACCAACAATTGCAAAGCATGAATGCTGTGTATATAGTACAGTATAGCTCTAAATTTTTTTTATTCCGCATGCAATTAGTAGAATCTGCAACATGAACAAGAAACATATATTCCAAAACCCATTACAATTAAGCGTGTGCTGTTAGCAGTTGTTATACTCTTGCTGAACTCGACTGTGATGATTGTTTCCTTCTGGGAACTTCTTCCTTGCTATTGAAATATCTTTTCCCATTCTGTTTGTCGGTGTTTCAGGATTCAACTAAAAGAAAACTTATCAATACAAACAACGTCAATAAAGTTTTTACTCAGACATATTTTTGCCTCTTCTGCTTGGTTTTATTGTGTTGCCTATTCTTATTTATTGTTGTTATATTTCGGCAGGCTCCAGTATTTGTAATGAATATTAAATTGTTATCGATGATGTTTTGTTTATGCTTCCTGTGCGCCTTATGACATGTTTGGATACAATTTGTCACTTAAACAAAAGAAAACTTAGGTAATGTAAGATTGCACTGGCAGGCATTATAGCAATATTTTAGTCCACTGTAATTAGCATTCATCCTATTTTATCTATTTACTGAAATACCGTCATCTTCCTAACTTGTAACCATTCTCTAAAGTCAGAAACATTCTACAATTCAGGGAGAACATGTGTGTCTATAATTCCAGTACATGGATGCACTCAGTGAGTGATGTGCTCATACCCAACGGGGAGCTATTACATGTCAGAGCCTTTTCTTGTACAAGTATTCATGTACCTGGACCTGCGAGACAATACCAGTTTTAATGTAATCGAACCTGCGAACCAATACCAGTTTTAATGTAATCGAACCTGTGAACTAATGCCAGTTTTAATGTAATCGGACCTGCGAACTAATGCCAGTTTTAATGTAATCGGACCTGCGAGCTAATGCCAGTTTTAATGTAATCGGACCTGCGAGCTAATGCCAGTTTTAATGTAATCGGACCTGCGAGCTAATGCCAGTTTTAATGTAATCGGACCTGCGAACTAATGCCAGTTTTAATGTAATCAGACTTGCAAACTTATGCCAGTTTTAATGTAATAGGACCTGCGAACTAATGCCAGTTTTAATGTAATCGGACCTGCGAACTAATGCCAGTTTTAATGTAGTCGGACCGGCGAACCAATACTAGTTTTATTGTAATCAGACCTGCGAACTAATACCCGTTTTGAAAATACATATGTATTTAAATACAAAATCGTCTGCTCAGCCGCTGCTCCCACTCTAAGACAACAATAAACTATACAAAGAGAGACGAGACCATTCCTACCTGCACAGTTTTTCCCTGTCCTGTTGTACCTGCACGTACAACTTCCATTAGCAGAATCACATTTGTTGATACAGTAGGGGGAGCAACTCAAATCACACCGGTCTCCATACCTTCTACCCAAGCATTCTGGAATAGTTCACGTGACAAATTTCAGTTTTATCAGTACCCAGCTGATCATTATCATCATCTGTAGCAAATTCTTTGCAGAACGTCGCTCTCATAACTGTCGCCATAAAAGAAACTCGGTTTTTCGCCGACTCTCCCGCCTCATGTACTTTCATCTATCTATCTGAACCCTGTAAGAGTCGGACGTGTTCTCAGTGAGCTCTGGCTTTTTTGAAATTATTGTCTCAAGATACATCATTTTTCACAATGGAGTTATTCACCAGTGTGATTGTTGTTCTGCCGTGCATCGAGCGAAATAGCTTTTGGATAATTTCTGTTATATTACTATTAAATATGTATTTTTGTAAACATTAATACAATAATGGAAAAACCTGTGACCCTTCAGCGATCATGGTGTCTTTAACTCTTTAAGGAGGGCATTTTTCTGGGGTTTGGACAGCATTAACTTTAAGCGGAATTTTTTTAGTGCAATACGACAAAGCTAAAACCTTCCTGAAGAAAAAGTATGGGCGGTATCGGGACTTATAATATATCAAATTAAAGATAAATGAGTGCAGAATAGATATAAACTACTAAATTGTCAGTATAATAACAAATTATTATTAAAATTACACAACATTCAAGGATGTTAGACACATATGAAAATGTTTGACATAAAAAATTGTGTTAGTTAGTTAGTCTTTCCTCTTGTGTCAAATGCGGCACATAGGGCAGAGGTCATGACTCTCCATGCATGGCGGTTCGTTGCAATCTGTTGTAGGTCTTGGATGTTTGAGTGGCCCATGAGCGAGCCTTCCGTGATGATAGTTCTAAGTAGTTTCCCTTGGTCTTCCACGAGATCTTTTCCCCTGTGGTGTTCAAATGAGGGCTTGGTAAGGAAGTCTTGATTTATCCATTCTAAGGGCGTGGCCGACATAGTTCCAGCGGCGTTTTCGTATAAAATAAGACACATACTCTTGCCTGGATTCTTGCCTTATTTGTGTATTGGTTCGGAAATCTGACCATTTGAAATTTAGTATTCTTCTAAGGCATTTATTTTCAAAACTGTATAATTTTGTGTCTAGAGATTTCGTTGATTTCCAGCTCTCGCATCCATAGGTTAGTACTGGAATCACACAAGAATTATAGATCTTGAGTTTTGTGTGTTTGCTAAGTGTCTTTGATTTCCAGATGTTGGACAGTTTATTAAAGGCACTAGATAAAATTTGTGTGAAATAATTGTGTGCTAACCTTTTTTTTTACTAGTTCAACAGCACTGCTATCCAATTCTAAGAAAACACATGCCTTCTCTGTTCAATTATGTATTAGCTAGTCTTTATTTGAAACAATTAATTAAAATACTTTTAATATTATAACCATTTTTGTATGACAGGTCAATTTTCACAACAACCGAAAATCAGAAAAACAGCTGATCAAAACATTGATCTAATTGAAATATTTTGTGAAATTTTCATATCCTAAACTAAATTATCGCTAGTAGATTTGTCCACCAGACAAAACAAGCCAGGCATCCCAACTACACACACGTACATACCCGACAGAAGACTGTCAACAACCCCACGAGCACACCCACTACCACATGGGAAACGGCCACACCATTTCACACCCACCTCAGCAAAGGAGAGAGATAACTACGAAGATTTGTTTCCTCCTCTTCCCAACAGGGAACCGCCCACCATCGGCACAACGCCACTGCTACGGCGGCCTGATTTCACCGGTCAAGGACATAAGTCCTCGACTGAAAACATACACACATCGGAGCAACTGTTTCCTTCTAACTGGAACTCCGAACTATTACGCCTTATGCGCTTCAGCCCTAATGCACTCAGGCAAGCGCTTACGATGTCGATGTCCCTACAGTACAGACCAGCAGGATACAAAACCTGTTAAATAACTGTACACAGAATCTCAGCAGAAAAGAGTTTTCATTTGACGTTTTTCCATTGCGTTAGTATTGTGTGTACACTCGGCCAGCAGTGGGTTACACGAATTAGACTTGAGTCGCCTTTTGTGTGTGCGTCTCACATAGGACTTAATTCAGTTTTGTACTTGATATAATTTTTTTTCTTGACATAATTCTGCTTATTTTGTGTGTGTGTCCCATATAGGACTTGATTCAGTTTTGTACTTGATATAATTGTGTTTTTGTTTTCTTCTTGACATAATTCTGCTTATTGTGTGTGTGTTTGTGTGTAGCAGAAAGCAAAGTGGTAGTGTAGATCAGCAACTGAGCAAATTTGTTCTTCTTCTTCTTCTTCAATCTTGTATTATTGTTCACTTGGCCAGCAGTGCGTTGCACAAATTTGACTTGTGTCGCCTTTTTGTCTCACCCTGAACTTAGACGAGGTCTGTTTTTATTGATGTACTTGATATAATTATGTTATTAATTTATTTGATATATTCTGCTACTCTAGTGTAGCAGAAAACTAGGTGGAAGTGGAAGTGTAGACGAGCTACTGAGCTCATTAGTTGTTCATTCTTGCATTGTGTTAATTTGTTATTATCTTGTATTTGTTATACTTGCTTCAAGTTTTCCCTGTAATGTCTAACAAAGAGGAACACTGGCTTAGCAAAGCGGGTCTCAGGTTGGGTCATCTCTATATTTGCCATCTTATGAGGAAGCTGCCTGAGCTGTCCCTTATTCTCAATCAAAATTTCCATATGTTCGGCCTTAGCGAAAGTCGATTAACTGATAACATTTCAGATGAAGATGTATTTATTAAAGGCTTTAAAGTTTTTAGAAGAGACGCGCGTGTGAAACAAGAGACATGTATCGCGGTCTACATAAGTAATTCCCTTAATGTTCACCGTAGGCAGGTCTTGGAGACTAGTGAGGTAGAATGTATATTTTTAGAAGTTAAACTAAAAAATCACAAACCCGTCATGGTTGGTTACGTCTATCGAAACCCTAGCGCTGGGGCTCTGTGGTATGACAACTTCACCACCATGATGGATCCATTGTTTACCAGTGCCAATGAAATCATACTTTTAGGAGATTTTAACATTGATGCTCAAAAATCAGACAAAACATGGGAAAATATAGTTGCATCATATAATCTCCAACAATTAGTCGAGCAGTCTACTAGAGTAACGGACTCTTCCTCAACCATTATAGATCACATATATGTAACATGCCCAGAAAACATCATAGAATGCAAGGTCCCCAACTGTACAATGAGCGATCATTTTCCAACTTGCATCACGTGGAGTAAAAGAGGCACAAAAATCCCAAAGCATAAACATATTAGCATAAAATGTAGAAGTTATAAAAATTTCAGTCAAGATGCATTCTTAAAAGATTTACTCGAATACTCCCCTGAACCATGTTTATGAACTTCTTGATCCAGATGAAGCCCTGGAGTATTGGTTGAAGACCTTCCTTGGATTGTTTGATAAACATGTACCAATGAAGGAAGTCAGAGTAAAGCATCAGAGTAAATCACCATGGATTACCCAGGAAGTAATCGAGATTATAAGATAGCGAGATAGGACACATAAAAATAAGGACTTAGTAACACTTAGGATTTTGCGTAATAAAGTTCAATACATCATTCGAAAGGAAAAAATAATTTCTTTACAAAATTAGTAACAGATAAAACAAACAGTAAAGATATATGGAAGGCAATTAACACCTTGACTAACAGAAACAATTCATCACGCTTGTTATCATCAAATCATGTTACATCAGACGATTTCAGTAATTTCTTTCAAACAGATATAGAGCAGTCGAAGGCTTCAATACCACATTATCCATGTGATTTATTCTTGCTGTCCTCGTTTTGTGAGACTAAATGCTCAAATGAAATTCATTCTGACATGCCGCTCATGTCAGTTACTGAAGTATTTACATATCTCACTAGTCTAAAAAGCAGTAACGCTTCAGGTTTAGATGGAATCAGCAATAGGATCCTTCGGTGTGCTGCATCAGTTGTCTGCGAGTCTTTAACGTTTATATATAACCAGTGTCTTGCCAAAGGCTATTTTCCTTCAGCTTTTAAAATTGCCAAAGCATATCCACATCTTAAATCTGGCTCTTTGGACAGTGGTCTCCCAAGTAGCTATAGACCCATCTCCTTATTATCATCATTATCAGAACCGCTAGAAAAACACATTCACAAAATAACCCTCCAACATCTAGATAATAACAAACTTATAATTGATAACCAGTCAGGATTTCGACCAAAGTATTTGTGCCATACAGCTTTAACAAACATGATAGAAAACTGGCATCAGAATATTAACGAAGATAAAATAGCTGGGTGCGTGTTTATAGACTTTAGAAAAGCCTTTGACATGATAGACCATACTATCTTTATTAGAAAACTAGAAAAAAATGAACTTCAATTGTAATCTATTAACGTTATTACGATCCTTTCCGTTAAATAGGAAACAGGTAGTTTCATACAATAAATCCCTGTCACAGACTACTGTGGTGAATACTGGAGAACCCCAGGGCTCTATTCTTGGCCCTCTGTTATTTGCCATTTATTTAAATGATCTTCCTCTATGTCTGTCGTCGCCGTGTGATTTATTTGCAGATGACTGTACAGTCTATACGAGTGCTCAAACGTGTGATAGTCTAGAGTCATCTTTACAACAGGAATTAAACAATGTTGTTTCCTGGAGCTATGCAAATCGCATGCAAGTAAACATTTGTAAAACAAAATGCATGTTAATATCAACAAGACAAAAGCTATATTCTTTATCTGCACATAATACTCTTCAACTCTTCATAAGTAACAACCCAGTAGAATGTGTAACTGAGCACAAATCTTTAGGCGTAATTATTGATTGAAATTTAACCTTCACTTCTCATGTGCAAGCTCTAGTGAAACAAACAGCTAAAAAAGTATACCAGCTTGCAAAAATTAAACACTTTCTGGATGAAAACACCAGAAGGATTTTCTATACCTCCCATATTCAGACCCATCTAGACTACTACTCCACAGTATGGGATGGCTGTCCAAGTTCAGTCA